CCCCCCCCCCCCAGGATGAAGGCTGAAGCCCTTTAGGTTGTTGGAGAACGATTGCCTTGAGATTCGAAGCTATCGGACTGTCGAGATTCGGTCGGCATCCTCCGCTCGCTATTGAAACGTTACATGAATGGTTTTCTAGGGTCATAAAGATCATGTCTCAGCTGTGGTTGCTACGGTTGAACGAGGAAACCATGCCCACTTATTCACTATTCGAATACCCCAAAGTGCGACATAGTCGACCTTTCGTGGTGTTGGTGGTTGTTGCCATCTAGACGCTTGCCGGTCCTCCGTTTGCTGTCCGAAAGAGGACCAATTCGGGTGATACTCCAGTCATCTAGCCGCCTGTAACCCTTGGGCTCTTCGAGGCTGTTGACGAAGGCGGACCGGCAGCCCCACGTTATTCAGGGGCACCAGCGAAGGAACGCTGCCTCCGTGGTGGCGGTTTAGTGAACGGAACGTGTCGGCATGCCCTCGAGGTAGTCCCTCTTCTGTTTCTCGCGATCTGAACAGACAGTCCCAGTACAGTGCGAGCGGTCGTGGGGGAGAGTGGTCACCGTGTGGTGCATGCAAGAAGAAGAGGGACGGTGCGCGGTTTGAAAAGGTGCGCAATGCCATGCGGCAAAGGTTGGCGACTGCCCTTGTTTCCCGCGCGGGTTATTTGTGTCGGGATTCTGACCTACAATAACCTGTTGTCTTGTTTTCGTCTTTAATCTTCACACTTAAAAGCCGCTTTGACCTCTGTATCCAGCACGTCCTTCTTCGTTTTCTTTGAAGCAAAGGTCCAAGCTTAGGTCGCAACAAAGGTGGGTAAGACCACGTGCTCCGAGTCAAGCGGATATTTCGTTTCGGTGTCGTCTCACCCTTGGTTTGCAGCAGTTCTCCGCTGGAACGCCCTCTCCTCACGCAGCAAACTTGCAACGCTGCTGCCGCCTTTACCACTACCACCGTGAAAACCGGCCAAGCCCGACGAAACGCTGCCGCCGCCGCCGCCACCACTGTATTCTGCATCACACAAAATCCCACCGCCTCTTTGACCGCCGGAGTTGGCAGCCCCCGCCGTCTTGAGGGAATACCGAGTGCCCTCGGCGCGACCTTCTTGATTGTGACGCCCTCCCACCCCGCTGGTCTTCGTGGGGAAGTAGTGAGTGGTCTCCTTTGTGGAGTGGCTCGAGGAGGGGAACATGGCGTTGCGCGGTCGACCGGGGAGCGACCCGGTGGAGGCAGTAGAGGGGCCAGACCAGAGAGACGATGCGGCAGTGGTTGCCGATGCCCGCGGGCCGAAGTCAAACACGCCTCTCTCCGAGAGAGACCCAGTGCCGTCAAAGTGGGTGGACGAGGGAGCCGCAAAGTCCCTGCTGTCGCACAACCCGGCTACTGACCAGGGTCCTCGTCCTTCTGCCGCCCGATCATTGACCGCACGGCGATCGCGCCTTCCGCCGCCGCCGCCGCCGCCGCCGTAAGCCGGTCTATGGTTAGCCGTAGCGATAGCGGTGCCATCCACCCTCCCACCCCAGCTTCCATCCCCTCCGAGACCGCGTCTGTCCCCGACCGCAGTTGTCGTCGTATCAAGGCGAGCGGCAGTCAGGCGGCCCCACTCGACCAGCCCAGGGAGAGAGGTGTACCCGTTGCAGAGGCGTTGGATCGTCCGACTGACTCGCTCGAACGCGCGCATGCCGTGTGGAAGAGAGCGCTCCAACTCAGCCTCTACCTACACAAGGAGGTGATCGTGGGTGGGTGCGACAACAACGGCAGTCGAGAGGGTTAAGTTTTTTTGCGAGCTACTGGAAAGCAAGAAGGCCAAGATTCAAAAACATGTCAATGTTGGGCGCTCATAATGTAAGCGATCCCGGACGTATTCGACGCAAGACGTGTAGCTGTTGAGTTGTGACTTTCCCGGTTACCTTTGCCACGAGAAAGGGGGATCGGGGAAAGCAACAAACGCTCGTGCCTTGGATAGGCTTGAACAGCACAGACCGAAGTGTTGAGTAGAAGATTTGCGAGTCGTTTGCCATGTCGTCAAACTAACGGTGTAGACTAGTCACCGTGCCCTCTTGGTGTGTACTATGCTACCCTTTCCCAGGTCGAAATGCATTTGCCAGAACAGTCTTCCAATTTCAGTAGGGTCGACTTGTTTTCAACATAAAATTTACCGCTTTTGTGTAGGTGCCATTCACAGGCTTTGCATCATGATCGTTACAACAACCGGAGGGTTGCATAATATGTCGAAACATATGGCGTTAGGAATTGCCAGGCGATCACATATCTTCCACATTCTCGGGTTCAAGATGGAAACCAGGTTAGTCGGGGTGTCGGCGTGCTCTGCGATAGTTATGAAAACGTGAAAAAGTTAGCCAAGCATCTCAATTGTCGAGGAGCTGGGCGGTGGGGGATCGCACGCTTGAAAGCTCACGAGGTCCGTGAGCGTGTGCTACTACTGTAATCAAACTATCGGCTACGGTTACCAGACTACATACCGCCGTGCGGAATGCCGGCGCGGCGGGTCATGGATAAAACAACTCACCGTCTTTCTTCTGGCGTCGACAATCCCCCGTTCCTTCACCAAGCGCCCCTTGAGGTGAGCCACAGCTTGCTGCTCCTTTTGGCCCATGCGGCTTACCTGATGTTTCGAGTCGTCGGCCAAAGAAAGAGTCAACCGGCATGAACAGAGCGCCGTTACGGACGGTGATGGAAGAGCGGGGAACGGGGGCGGTCGAGGTTCAGGGACGTCGTAGCGGTATCGTATTGCGCTGGTTGCTCGGCTACCATTGACAATACTTGATATTTTAGTACGCGGTGGTGTCTATTGCTGAAAGACACCACCTGTTGGCGAAGGTGGTTGATTGACTCCGGTTCTTTCAAGGTCATAAACGAGGACACCCTCTGAAGGTTAGGAAGATCGAAGTTCCATTCCCGTATTTGGTGACGAGGACTTACTGATGAGTTTTACTTACAAACCGCCGGGAGAACCGTATCGTTTCTGCCAGCACAGTTGTTTCGCAGCGTTGTGCTTCGCAGGTTACGGTGAGAGACAATACCTCACATCGGTCGCCCCGGTGGTCTAGTGGGTAGCCTCGCAGCTTGCTAAGGGCCAGGTCATGGGTTCGAGTCCCGGCAGGGAGAGTTTTTTTCTCACTAAATAAATCCTGGTCTAGGATGAAAGCGACGCGCTGCAAAGCTCGTTTGTTAGTAAACCATAATCGACTTCGTAAGTCGCGAGGGAAGGGATTGCTGTACCCTTCTCGCGATAAAAATACCTCAGGCATGAACCGCAGGAGGGGGGTCCAACCCCCCCCTCCTATGTGACCCCGGTTGGGTCGTCTAGCCAGTAGAAGTGGAGGATAGGGGCCAGAGGGGCAGACGGCAGAGTCCAATGATGGGAGAGAAACAAACAAACAAAACAAACAATCTCCCCCAAATAAAATAGCAAGAATGTGTGCATAGACGCTATCGACATGCTAGGCACTGGTTAGTCAAAAGCGAAGTTGTTGTTTCTTCTGCGACGACGGTTTTCACGTCAATTCCACCCCATTCCAACAAGATCAGTGGGAGCGAAGAAACCTGCATGCCTCCACTGGCGGCGCTCAAAAGGCCCACCCACCTCCACAGTCTTGCCGCCGGCGTCTGTCTCCAGCAGCCCAATCTTCAGCCCAATTTCCAGACTCTTCAGGCCCAAGCCGTGGACCAGCTGCTTGTCCGTGTCCCTCTGATGGAGGAGCCCCTCGAGCACCTCGATGGCGCCGCCCTCCACATGCGAAGACTGCTGTGCAAGTTCGAGCTGCCGCTCGAGGTACCTCACCTGAGGCAACAAAACCGTGAAAGGTTCATTTGTCGCCGGAGGACCCCACCGCAAACGGCAGCCATGCAGACCGAATAGTACAGTGCCGGAGCGTGTTTCGGATGACCGTTTGTCGGCTTAGTGCTTTGGCGCGGAAGAACGTAGGTAATTCGATAGGATGCCAGCTTCGGCGGAAGCCGTTTCGTAAAAAGGGGAAACAAACGCACTTTTCAGGACTATCGCGTCTTCGGAGATGTACTATTATACAAACTATTACGAAGTACCTAGCAGGTAGGCAGATAGAGGATTGGCTGTGTTGCCAGGTGCCACCGCACAGCGATAACCAAAGCTGAAGAACATACCTCCAACACCGCAACCAGTTTTTCCCGTACGTATGTGGGAATCAAGACATAGGTATCTTCGTACAGTGGTACAGTGACGCACATACGAAACCCTACGAACCATGTTCCACAAGTCTGAAGATGTTTACCAAGAAAGATCCTCCGCCTGCTGTGATCAGCCGGAGATTGAAAGAGTGCCCCGAGGCTCACTCTCATCTTTGATCTTTCATAAACATAGCAAGGCCGATCAACGCCGGCCACGCTTGGCAAATCCTCGCCACATTGATAAGAAAAGAGTAAAAGTCCTCCACTGGTGAACGGTTATTCACCACGTCAGGGACCCTTACTCGTAGCAGAGAAAGGGTATTCTAACGTACGGCCGATCTACACACCTCGTACAAGCCTTGTCAAGCAATAGTCAACACGGTGGAACATGCAACACGACCATGAAGTTTCACCTGCTCATTGAGCCCGCGCTGCCTCTTCCTTAACGCTCGAATGACGTCTTCGGTGTCCGCGCTATAATAGTCCGCCTTGACATTCCGCAGGTCGCGCTTGAGGTCGCGCTGCTCTTCGGTGAGGATCACAATCTCTCGTTCCCTTTATGGGGGGAAAGACGGAAAAGGGGGGGCGGAGGAAAACCATGGTGCACTTTAGATCGCGCACGTGCACACGGCGTTTCGGGTCTATCGCACCAATGATCTACTGTATGTAGTCGACGACTACCGCTGTGCTTGCTGTCGGGGGTTTTATGATGTGCTGTAACAGGGAAAAAGAAAATGGCTGAACCGGGCATTCCTCTAATGTTGTGTGTGGCGCCTGCGGAAAACATGCTTGACCTCTAATCACAGGCCGTCCGGTTCAACCGGGGCGTCGAGCGCGACGTTGAGACTGGATGTAGGCGACTTTAGCAGTGAGATGCACTGAAGCAGTACGAACGTGCACGCTTTCACGACACGAAAATCTGGCCTTTTTAGCAGGTTCGACTCGGCTTGCGGCTCACTTGAGAGCAACCTGCCGATCGAAGCCACCCTTCTGCGCCTCCATTGTCTTGCGAATAAATTCTGGCAGAGACTTCGCCCACAAGGTGTCTTCCCGAAGCGCGTTCACGATTCTCGCTGACGCCGACATGTCGACCACCCCTGCGCCCCCGCCGTCGCCTGTCGAAGCTCCCCCCGTTGGGGCCGCCGTTTGAGCCCCCCAGCCGCTTCCACTGTCGCTGCTTCCCCCACCAGCACCACCGCCGGACGCCCACGGCATCCGACCAGCTTCCTCTTCCGTGCCACCGTGCCCACGCCCGCTGACATCGACCTTGATCCCTGCCGAAAACGATCTAACCCTCAACGTGGCGGCACGGGCCGCCGAAAGAGCCTCCCGTGGGTTCGTCGGCGGACCCTGAAAGACGGGCGATTCCGCCGTCGGAGGAATGAGAAGCTCGCCTTTGGGTTTTTGCCGGGGGTTGGTGAAACCCGAAAGAATGGTCCGGGCCATGGTACCCGACTCTGCCACCGTTGTTGCCATCTCTCGGAACTTGGAACGAGTGCCACTACTAGTGGTACATCCAGAGATCTCGCTGGTCTCCTTTGTTGCCCCCGCCTCCAGCGGTATTTGTTGCGGCTGTGGTTGTGGCACCAGCAGCAGCGGTGGTGGTTCAAAGCGTTGGCCGACGGCGGCCGCGGGCTTGTCGTTGTGGTTGCTGGCGGCGGCGGTGTCTCCGTTGCTGCGCCCGTCGTCCATTATGACGTTTGAGAGACCGCCGCCGCAATAGCTGACGGCGGTAGAGCAGCGACTGGCCGCCGCCGTGCCGGTGCTCAGCTTGTACTCGGAGGTGGCGCAGCGCACGTCCGCGTCCTCCCCGCTGCAGACCATCTGCACGAGAGTCGACGGAGGCCCCCTCGCCGCCTTCGCCCGGGGGTCACGCTCCCACCACGATGGTCTCCCCGTCGTGGGCGACGCCTCCTCGCCCGCAGAAGCGGCCGGAGCCGCGGCGGCGGCGGCGGCGGGCGACTCCGGCTGGTGCTGACAGAGCTCCAGCACGACGCACACGGTCTTGGTCAGGGCTTCTCGCAGGTCGGCGACGGCTTGCCTCTCCAGCGCCAGCGACGCCAGCGGGTACCCGGCCCGGAGGCGGGCCTCTTCCCTCTCCCGCTCGCGGCGTTCCGCTAGGTCTGCCTGAGCGATTAGGTCGAGACCCTTGGCTTTCTTGATCGCGCGCGGTTGCGGCGTTGTTGGCGGGTGCTTGGGCTGAGGCGGCTGGGGTTGTGGCGCTATGGGAGCGAGTGTTGGAGATGGGGTTACAACAGCTGGTGCTAGAGCTGGTGTTGGCGCTGGTGTTGGGGCTGGTGTTGGAGCTGGTGGTGGTGCTGGACTTGGAGCTGGTGGTGGATCTGGGGTTGGAGCTCGACTTGAAGCTTGGGTTGGATCTGGGGTTGGATCTGGGGTTGGATCTGGGGTTGGATCTCGACTTGAAGCTTGGGTTGGAGCAGGTATGGTGGCTGACAGTACTGGTGCCGGTACCGGCATCGACACCTCTGCTGCTACTGTACTCTGCTGCTGCTGTTGCAGCAGCTGCTGTTGCTGTTGGCGTTGCTGCTGTTGCTGTTGGCGTTGCTGCTGCTGCTCCTGCTGCTGCTGTTGGTGTTGAAGCAGTTTCTCTTCGGCCATCACCGACCTAGACGCAAGCCAAAGCGGGAGTAAGACAGAGGAGTGCCGTGGGATTTACACCGGAATGCCGTGGGGTTTTTATCTTACCAACGTTAGCTCAAAGGCCATTTGTGATAGCAGAAGCGCTCATGAGAATACGTGTTAACGTGTGGGGGGCGCAATGCATTTGCACGTGGTATGCAGGCGGGCTAAATCTATACCAGATGCCGGTTGCCGGAAAGGCGAAAGGGACGAAGTTGGTTGCGTAGCTACTTCCCAGGGCATTCTCGGAAACGGCAGAAACACGCACCATTTGGCAAAAGATTCGTGAAGCGCTACGTACCTTTCCGTTGCCAATCGCAGGTGTTCCTTCACCCTCCTCAGCCTGGCGATCGACATTGTCAACTTCATCTGCAGCTCCTGGTTTGCCTCTCGCATTGCTTCATCGGCCGCCTCGTCTACGTAGTTGTGCGGACCGCGAAGAGCACCAAAAAAGGGGTCGGGAAATTGATACCAAGAATCCAGTGCTCAATCCGCCGGTCGTACGACGGGCGTCCATGCTTAACCCCTTCAGGGCTAGATCGCCTTTTGGGGACACTTTTTGTCCCCATCTTCTTCACCTGCTCTACCTTGCGAAGAATGGCATGATTGTCTCCGCCTTTGAACTACTCGACCAAGGGGGTGCCAGGGTACACGGGGAACACTCTAGTCTAGTATGGATACCTTGTAGAGTGGAGGAGTATGAGGGTAATGAACAGGTCGAATCGCGGGGCGATTACGCTGCGGGTTCAACAGCGAAGTTGCGCCGCGTCTGTCTACTACCCTTGGGTGGAAAGCGCTACTAGGGGCAAGCGCGGAAGAAGTACCTNCTACCTTGCGAAGAATGGCATGATTGTCTCCGCCTTTGAACTACTCGACCAAGGGGGTGCCAGGGTACACGGGGAACACTCTAGTCTAGTATGGATACCTTGTAGAGTGGAGGAGTATGAGGGTAATGAACAGGTCGAATCGCGGGGCGATTACGCTGCGGGTTCAACAGCGAAGTTGCGCCGCGTCTGTCTACTACCCTTGGGTGGAAAGCGCTACTAGGGGCAAGCGCGGAAGAAGTACCTAGCCCACCGTTGATAGGAGGCACCGGGCAACCTAGGATTCGGATTAGAAGGTCTCCGCTTTCCCTTTAGAGAAATATCTTGAAAACCTCCTCTTCGTGCCCCGTTTACCACGCTCCCGCCAGTTGCTGTCCAAAATTGTATCAAATGTCCCCTCGATTATCGAGGGGACATTTGATAGGGATTATAGACAAGAGACGGCTCAAGTGGGAAGGAAGCTTTGCACTTGTACCCAGGGATGGAACTGTCTGCACCATCCGATCAGCAGGCGTCGTTCGCTCTTTTTCTTACACATCAGAAATTTCGCACGAACACCAAATTTTCTGTGCGTGGTAAGGGGGGTAAACTTTGCCTCCCCTGTGCTCTTCGATGCTTCAATTACACACACGTCGCGGCCTTTCGTTGTGGTGTCATGGCTGATGGGTACGAGGCGGCCACAGATTGCAGCACCAACGGCGTTATCAGCTCCCCCCTCTCGGTCACTAGGCCTGTGCTCGGTAGGCGCTTGCCAAAAACGCGTGATTTTGAGAATTTGCACCTAAAAACAGACGATATTTGAATCGCCTAAAACCTCGCCAAAAAGTCGGTCGCTGCGCCTAATTCCGCAGCCGGCGCCTATGCTTGCCTATTTTTTCAGCCTGCGCGTACTTTCAGCGGCGAGCGCCCCCGTTTCTCCTTCACATACACAAACAAGCAAAAAAAAAGAGAGGTAGACAACCCACGGAATGGGTCAAGGTTGTAGAGGACGTATGGAAGGGGCTCGACATCGACGAAGATGAAACGCTGGAAACGGAGGGTCTACAGGGGTTCAAGGAGAAGATATCTGTTGCTTGTGCCGAGAGAGAAGAACAGAATCTGAGGAAAGAATCCAAGGATAAGGAGGGTCTAGACGTGCACGGAATGTTGAAGGAAGGATTAGGGTTCAAGGATTACCTACATGCACCAATGGATGCAGGAACAAAGCTTACGGTCAAATTCAGGACCGGGGACATAGGCCTTGGAGAACGTTGACGACGACATAGGACGGTAGACGAGGAAGACGACGAGTTCAAATGTGATTGCGGCTTCGAATGCGAAGACCGTGTTCATGTAGTCGCGGAATGCCCGTGGTACAAGAAGGAGAGGGAAGTGTACGTGACTGAGCTGGGAAAAATAGAAAGGACGTACAGGGAGATCTTTGAGGCATAGAATAGAGAGGAAAGGACGGTCGCTGTGCTGGGGCATAGGAGATGGGTTGAAAAGGCGGGAAGGGATATCGTTAGGATNGGAGAACGTTGACGACGACATAGGACGGTAGACGAGGAAGACGACGAGTTCAAATGTGATTGCGGCTTCGAATGCGAAGACCGTGTTCATGTAGTCGCGGAATGTCCGTTGTAC